ATGGATCTGCATGACAGAGCATCCATCCATCATGCTTACCTGAGGCAGGCCGGGCAGGTGGTTGAAGCAGTTCTACTGGAATTCCAGTCTGAGAATACTCACAGGCGGGAGGTAAAACGAGACTGAACCTGGCAGCTTCTCTTTCCTCTGACCTCTAGAGGCTTTTTTGCCTTGAAACTACTTCCTGGAGGCAAAAACCAAGAGCCTCCTTTTCGTGCAGGCTGATTGAGCTTTTTACACTAGAAACAGGGCCAATGGGCCAGTGTGGTCAGTCACAACCTGCTCAATAGCTAAGGCATTAAGCCACAAGTTCAGCAGCAACGTGCAGCAGGATTGTGACTAAGTCTGCTCCTCCCCACTAACTCTGTGACCAGCTATGCTCATGTTCTCTGATTTCAGAATGACAATGGGTGGGAGAAGGCTGAGAGACATCTCCAGATTTTCCAGGAATCCTGTTCTGTCATTTCTGAGTATGGAGAATGGAGCTCACCAGAGCTTGATATTTTGCCCTTGACTCTGCTTACTAGTTTCTAAGAACTGTGTTCTCAGCCTGCAAAAGAGAAATCTCTTCCCTCAGGAAAAGATTAAGGGTAAAGTTAGATCTATGCTTTACATTCAGTTAGAGAGAAGATACATAGAAATAGGCCAGAGCCTTATTCACAATGAGCATAAAAGTGCATGTGATGATGTACACAAACAAATAAGAAGTGAAATAAACTATGCAACATCCAAATTTCAGAATGCTACTATAGACTTTTTAAATGAGTGACAAATTTTGATGACTGACAAGTAAATAAGGCTGTAATATACTTTTAAGTATAAAAGCAAGTGAGCTAATTTATGTTTAAAGAATATCCTATAGATGTGCATGTATGTCTGTGTATTTTTAAAAAGTAAATATAATTGCACAAAAATATGCATACAATACAGTTGGGGTAGAAGGTGAAGGGTAATTTTAATATTTTAATGTATATAATTATAATACATTTGAATTTTATAATAAACATTTATTTTTAGTTTAAAAATCAAAAATGAAAAGAATCAAATTAAAAACAAAAAATAGGCAAAAGGAAATAAGCAATTTTTGAAATAAAACATACAAATGGACACTACTCCAGTTACCGTTATTATTATTATTTTTAGAAACAGGGTCTCACTCTGTCACCCAGACTAGAGCTGGAGTGCAATGGCACAATCATAGCTCATGGTAGCCTCAAAACCCTAGGCTCAAGTGATCCTCCCACCTCAGCCTCCCAAGTAGCAGGATTACAGGTGCATGATACCACACCTGGCTATTCCTCCTCCTCCTCCTACTCCTCCTCCTCCTCCTCCTCCTTCTTCTTCTTTCTTCTTCTTCTTCTTCTTCTTCTTCCTCTTCTTCTTCTTTTATGTTTTGTAGAGATGATAGAGATGGAGGTCTCACTATGCTGCCCAGGCTGGTCTTAAACTTCTGGCCTCAAGTGATCCTCCCACCTTGGCCTCCTCAAATGCTGGGATTATAGGTGTGAGCCACCATGCCTGGATAGAGGTACTATTTTTGGCATATCAAACTGGAAAGTATTTTTACAATGTTAATAATTAAGTTTGGATGAAAATTATTCATCCAGAATAATTGCTGTGATAGATAGGCACATTCTTTCCCACCAGAGGTGGGAGTTATATTACAATTTACATTGGTATGTTTATTCAAAACAGTAAGGAAAAAACATACCATGAACTTTTAAAAGGTTTATAAGGTTAAAAGGTTTTATCAATTCCAATTCCAGAATCTATCCAAAGAAAATAAGCAGAGATAGGATCCAAAATTTATGTATCAAAATACTTATCACTGCATCACTTACAAAAACAAAAAATTAAAAACGACCTACCATGCTCAATACTGTTGAATTTGTTAAAGAATAATATTACGTAGTCATTTAAAATCTTATGTTCAAAAAGTGTTTAGCGACATGTTAACATCTCATTTTATAATGTTCATTAAAACTGGAGACAAAAATTATTTAAAGTATAAATTCAACGTTTCAAGTAAATATCTAGATTTTACACATATGCATTCATGCAAACATAGACAAGAAACTAGAAAAAATTGACCAAAACATTAAAACTTGACATAGTTGGGGTTGCAATTTCTGCAATTTTTTTCTATATTTTTAATTTTTTCAACAATGTTTATATTTCCTATCTATAACCAGAAAAATACGATAAAATCAGACTAAAATGATATAAAAAGTAAAAGAAAAAACACAGCCCTTTTTGACTAACATCAAAGAGAGAAACCCTTGGTCATGTTTATATTATGTGCTACTCTTACTGAAACGCATTTTAGGGGTGAGAATATTTTTAAAAGCCAGTAATGTTTACTTCTTCTAATTTTCCATAGACTCTCTTATTTGTTTTTTTGAATTTTGAATTTCATAGTTCAAACATACATGTAAAACTGCTTTGAAAGTTCCTACATTTTTATAACCTCCAGGGAGTTCAAGTCAATTCAGATGGATTATACCCTCCATGCTGCAGCCAGTCATATATGTAAAGATCTTGTTGGGAATGATCTGTGCGTTCACGGTTTGGTCCATCTCTGATTAAGCCCTGCACTAAGACAGGGTTTGAGGCATGTGTATTTTGGATTGAAAGACAAAAGAGCTCACTTTATCTCATCACACTCTCCAGGAAACAAATGCTGCAGATTTAGTCCTGGCACCAGCAAATGCTTCCCAGTTGCTTCCAGTAATGCCTCTTTTTAACATAAATATTACTTTTGCTGAGAGGTTTTTGTTTTGTTTGTTTGTTTGTTTAACATAAGGAGAGAAGATTCTTGAAGAAAATGTTTTTTTTTAATCACTTGCTTTAAAAAGTATTTATTAAAAACATAATGCTGTATACTTAACACAAGTGATGTTACACAGTCACCATTCTTGATAGGAAAATTCCTGCCAATTTTCTCACCTTTCCTTTGGGAGGCAGAGATCACAGGAGAAAAGGGATGTGAGTGAATCTTGCTCTTTTCTGTCTCGTTGCTCTATTCATATCAAAACACATTTAAGAAAACAGAAATCACAACCAAACTCGTTTGGAGACCAGGCAGTCTAGTCCAGATTTGGTAAACATTTATACTTTGCACTTCTTTTAAAGAAAACAGAAAGCTCTAGTGTTGGTGGAGATTTGCCTCTGCATGCTAATGAAAACACAACACATGGCTCAGGGTGTGTGACAGACGAGTGTTACACAAGTACCTGGGAAAATACAGTGCTCCAACAGAGCGCTGGCAGAGAGCTTTGTCCCGTTAACGTGATTCATGAATGCACTTTAAAGCTACCCAACATTTAAATCTTTGGTTTCTCTAACTAGTCCTGAAGTGTATTTGATTCTCTTTGCTTCTAGTTTACAGTGTCCTGCCATACATCACTTTAATACTACTTCATAGAGAGTGAAAGATTATTTGGTATTTGGAGTAAAATAGGCTGAAACTTAAAATCGTACATTTGGCTCAATCTCCATGTGACATTAGGCATTTTTTTTTTACCATGGAGTGCTCTACCCAGAGGCTACTTTATTGATGGCACGTTGTGGGAACTTTCGTTACTATTTGTGCATTATTCATTTAAATTTCCAAGTTATATAATCAATGGCAGAATAATCCCAAGACATGTGTAAAGCCTTAGCAGTTGCTAATAATATGTGGTATGCCAATGACACACCTTTGTATTTAGCATCCATATGGGTGGTGTGTGTGACACATGTCAGTGTACAGACTCCCTTCTCATGGCTGTCAGTTCCATCTGCGAATTAGGAAAGTACTGGTCCCAGGACTTACGTTCTTTATTCACCGGCCCCATATCAAAGTGCTTTGAATATCTTAAGTGATCAGAAACTCTTTGAAACACTAGATTCTGTTCCTAGTGGGTTAGGTAAGTCTAATTTCATCTTTTATATTCTGACCATGGTGTCCTAGTTAATGAAACAAAATGGAATTCTATGGAAGAGATTAAATCTTAGTGTAATTATGATAGGTGGTGTCAGTTGCTGCTGCTGCTAAATAAAAATAAGTTTTCAATGGCCTATAGAGGCTCCCAAAGCCCCTTTTGTGAAAGCTGAATGCCTCAGGCCGACACATTGAACAACTGGTGTGACCCAGCTGTGTGTGGCCTCTCCTCTGGATTCCTTGCTTCCCAGCTCAGTTGCCTCCCGCATGCCTTTATTGAAATGACACTGTCCTTGGAAGTCTTTCTTAAGGTGAGAGTACCAGATACTCTTATAATGCAAGCCCATCACTTTTTAGGCTTATTTTCCCTATTTTCAGAATGTGAAATATATGAGTTTGAATTGGATTCTGCCATGACTTTCAACAATTTATTTTACCTTACCTAGAAAGCCTTGGTTTACTTATCTGTAAAATACCTGTCAAGTCTATGGTAAGAATTAAATGAGGTAAGGTACTTGAAATTATATTACAAAGATATAGAATTGGCCACCAAATGTGTGAAAAGATGTTCAACATCATCAGTCATTAGCCATTAAGGAAATGTGAATCAAAACCAAAATGAGGTATCACTTTGTACCACCTAGAATAGCTAGGATTTTTTGGAAAATAAAAAATAAGTTTGGTAAGGGTGTAGAGAAATTAGAAACCTCATGCTTTGCTGGTGGTAATGTAAAATGGAAACTGAAAAATAGCTTGGTGTTTCCTCAATCAGTTAAATATTGAATTAAATTACATATGACCTACCAATTCCACTCCTAAGTATATACCACAAATGACTGAAAACTGCTGCCCAGACAAAAATTTGTGCCTGGGTGTTCAGAGGAGTACTATTCAAAATAGCCAAAAGATAGAAGCAACCCAAGTGTCTACCAACTGACAGATGATAAACAAAATGTGGTATATCTATAAAGTGGAATATTATTCAGCCATAAAAAGGCATGAAGTACTTATACATGCTACAACATGGATGAACCTTGAAAATACTATGCTAAGTAAAAGAAGTAAGACCCAGAAAGTCACATATTGTATGATTCACTTTATATGAAATATTCAGAATAACCAAATCCATTGAGACAGAAAGCAGATTAGTAGTTGCCAGGGGACGGAGGAAACAGTGAAGTACAATGGACATGGGGTTTTCTTTTGGATGGATGAAAATATCCTCTAACTAGATAGTGGTGATGGTTATACAACACTGTGAATATACTAAACAACATGGTAAATTTTATGTTCATGTGATTTTATCACAATAAAATATTCTTTTACAGAGTGAGCATTCACCACACATCAGTTATTATTACTAAATATTTTCTGGCATTTTTATATCTCTCAGAACAATATTATCATGCATTAGGTTTTAGTCCATCATTGTCTAATGGATACATTTCTTATCTCTCTAACTAAACTCTTTGCTCCTTCAGTGCTCAACAGGACATCATTACTCCTGCCAAGCTATCCTGTATGTAGACAGAACTGCTGTGTGAATTGATTTGTGAAGTGCAGAGCACCTTATCTTCCCCAGAGTCTTTGTCCCATAGGCCCATTTTGAGCTCTGCAATTCCAGCATGAGAAGGACTCCATTGTGTAAGGCATGGTGTCACTATGGTGCGTCTCTTGAAATGCCAGCTTATTACCTGGAAGGGTTAATAACATGTGCATACTGACCAGAAAATTTAACACCTTAGCATTAATCAAGCCAGTCACCAAAAAAACACCTGAGGAAACGGAAGCTTGCCCAGGAGACTTTTGGTGTGGATGACTGAGGTGAAAGTTTGTCTGATAAGGTAAACTACAGTCAGTGATTCTGAACCACCAGGGCAGTGGGGAAAACAATACTGTAGACCAGGGGTCTCCAACCCCCGGGCAGCGGAAAGCTACTGGTCCTTGTGAGTTGCAGGCTAGCGAGCATTACTGCCTTAGCTCTGCCTCCTGTCAGATCAGCAGGAATCAGATTCTCAGAGGAGGGCAAACCCTATTGTGAATTGCTGTCTGTGAGGAATCTAGCTTCCATGTTCTGTATGAGACTCTAATGATAAATGTAATGTGCTTGAATCATCCCCAAACCATGGGGACTGCTGCTCTAGAGGAGGGCAGCTGAAAGAGTGAGAAGCTTTTAGAGGCAAACTTCACCTATTTGAGAATCTTACCAAGATCTTGTGTTCTGCCCAAAGCAGTTACCTGAATATAGTGGACAGGCAATATGACAAATCTGTATACTTCTTTTGAATGAAGAAATAAATGGATGATGGATGTCTGGAATAGGCTTTAAAATGCTCCTTTCTTGTACCCCTCTGTCCTATCACCACTATAACTAAAATAATATTAGCATTAGTTGACATTTGTAGAGTTTACCATGAGCTAAGCACTTTCCCCATTATCCACAGTTTTGTTTTCTGTGGTTTCAATGGTTTTCAGGGTCAACTGCAGTCTGATGATATTAAATGGGAAATTCCAGAAATAAACAGTTCATACGTTTTAAATTGCATGCAATTCTGAGTAGCAAATGAAATCTCACACCACTCTGCTTTATCCTTTCTCTACCACAAGAAAAAGGGTGAGAACAGTACAGTAAGATATTTTGAGGCTGGGTGCATTGACCCATGTGTGTAATTGCAGCACTTTGGGAGGCTGAGGTGGGTGGATCACCAGAGCCAACATGGTGAAACCCTGTCTCTACTACTACTAATAAAAAAAATTAGCCAGGCATGGTGGCAGGCACCTGTAGTCCCAGCTACTCAGCAGGCTGAGGCAGGAGAGCCTCTTGAACCCAGGAGGCAGAGGTGGCAGTGAGCAGAGATTGTACCATTGCACTCCAGCCTGGGCAACAAGAGTGAAGCTTTACCTAAAAAAAAAAAGATATTTTGAGAGTGAGAGACCACATCTACATAACTTTCATTACACTGTATTGTTAAATAATTGTTCTGTTTCATTATTAGTTATTCTTAGTAACCCCTTACTGTGCCTAATTTATAAATTAAACTTTATCACAGGTATATATGTATAGGAAACTGCAGAGTGTATATAGGCTTCCATACTGTCAATGGTTTCAGGCATCCATGGGGGTCTTGGAACATATTCTCCATGGATAAGAGGGACTCTACCATGTGTAATTTTATTTTTATTTTTTCAGACAGAGTCTCCCTTCATTACCTAGACTGAAGTGCAGTAGTGCAATCACTGCTTACCTGTAGCCTCAACCCCCCCCCCGCTCAGTTCAAGTGATCCTCCCATCTCAGCCTCCTGAGTAGCCAGGAGACATGTGCCACCACACCTGGCTAACTTTTAATGTTTTTTATAGAGATGGGGGTCTCCCTATGTGCCCAGGCTTGTCCAGAACTCCTGAAATCAAGGAGTTGATACACTCCTGTGTTGGTCCCCCAAAGTGCTGGGATTAAAGGCATGAGCCACCATGCCCGGCCTATATATAATTATTCTATTCAGTCTGCCCACAAGCTTATGAAATAATTACTGCTAATTTATGCTAATTTACACAAAAGGAAACTGAGACTTAGAAAAGTTAAGCAACTTAGCCAAGCTGCCAAGTGCAGCCAATTTGCCAAGCCTAGTGGAGCAGAATTTCAACCCATTCAGAACCTCCACTCCAACCACTCTGCTGATTGCCCTAATGCCCTCAGTGGTAAACATCAGCATGGGTTAAATGGATCTAAAAAAATGAATTACAGCCAATAGTAGCAAATAGTAAAGTGAACACTGTGGAAGGTTAGGCCCCTTTTGATCATCCTCCTCTCTGCACCTGCCTTATCCCACACTCCCCACCCAGCTTGGAAGCCAAAATTGTTAATTTAAGGTAATTGTAGCCCCCATGAGGAGAGCATATTAAATGCTCATTTCAATTTGGGTTTTCATTTTTAATTCGTGGAAAACAAAACTAAACTAAAAGGTATATTGAAATGTTGATAAAAAGTAAAACTTACGGTTGTACAACTCTCATTGTTTGTTGAGTGATATTCACTGCAAGTGCTATGCTTGGCTTGTGTGAAGTATCTATATCCTACTCCATTTCATTTATTTTATTTCAGCATACATGTGAGATGGCTTTTCATGAGTTACAGTAGGTCTGGTATGCAATCTGTATTTCCTCAGTGACTTCTTAGGACAGTCTTATAATTATATAGCAACTTCAGACAATCCAAAAACTCTGGGTTAAATATTTTCTATCTTTGGCATTAATTACTGTATAAATCGGACCAGTCATTCTTTTATCTATGCAGATTTATCACATGTGTGTACTTTCAAAGCAGTTGAAGGAAAAGTAAAAGTTGGTTGCAAAACATCTGGGTGCAATATCACGTAACCAAATAATATGGATATTTTTGGAATTTTTCACTTTCCATTCCAATGTTTGGGGAGTGTGTACAAACTACTCTGCATACACATAATTTGGGAATACATAGACTGAGACTATTTTGCATACATTTTTCTATATGTTTCTCCCCACTGGCTCAAAAACTCTATGTAGCTTTCATTTAGAGTTGTCATTATTTCTATGAAGTGTAGAATTTTTCTTTCAGTGCTGAGGAATTGCTAGGCTGTAGATTTTCACTCAGTTAATTGTAAAACATGTATGTCTTCCATGCTTGATGCTCTCTGGAGACACAAAATCAGGGATATATCAGAGTTTAAACCTAAGAGTGTTGTGACCAGGAGCAATCAATTGTCTCTTTCTTATTTGAGCACAGTGGTGGAGTGATAGGGTGCACGTTACAAACCTGACCATGCACATGTGGCAACGTGTTACTCCAAACACCCAACAATCCTCTGCTGCCCCACACACCCCTCACTACATACACAAACCCATAAGCTGGCAAATGGCAAAATCAATGCAACCAGATGGATGAGTGACTTAAGAGTAGCTCAGACCATAAGATGCAATCAGAGATTTTATTTGATGGAGGTATTAATTACTTTGTGTTCAGATAAGTACTACAATGTATGAATAGAAGAACTATTATTTGGGGTTGACTCCGATTTTAAAGAAGCATGAGCTGTCAGGAAGCTGCTCTGGGTGGTAGCTTTAGGATTTACCCCCTCAGCAAGGCTTCCTGAAAAAGGTAATTGAAGGACTCTCAGTTCAGCTGAGTACATAATGTTTACATCTGGCACATAATAACAATCTCAGTCTCAACTGATTGTATTTTGGCTTGTTAGTTCTATAGGAATCCATACAAAGTGTGTTAAATTTATGTGTCTGTTAGCTCAGTGTGCTGCTCAACTTTTTTTCTTTTTTTTCTTCCTTTTTTTTTTTAGACAAGAGTCTCACTCTCTCACCCAGGCTGGAGTCCAGGGGTGTGATCTTGGCTCACTGCAACCTCTGCTTCCCAAACTCAAGCAATCCCCCACCTCAGTCCCCCTGAGTAGCTGGAACCACAGGCACAAGCCACCATGCCTGGATTATTTTTTGTATTTTTTTGTAGAGACGTGGTCTTGCCATGTTACCCAGGCTGGTCTCAAACTCCTGAGCTCAAAATGATCCACCCACCTTGGCCTCCCAAAGTGTTGGGATGACAAGTGTGAGCTACCACTCCTGGCCTCAACTTTTCTTATTTATAAAATAGTTAGCTGTTTGTGACTCTAAAATGGACCTAAAATAAAGACATAATTTGAGGGCATGGGAAATGTCCCAAACAGCAGTTGAAGATTCAACCATGAAACATATAATTACTGAGTGGCTGCTATGTTTTTAAGACTAATGGGCACTCTGGGGGATAAAGATGTTATTTCTTCCTTAAAGGAAACTACAGTCAAGAGTAAAAATGTAGGAGTGGGGAAGATGCTCCCTAAGCCTATTCAAAAGCCATGTCTTTCTTTCCCAACAAGATTCCAATTTTGTTTGGATAGCTAATCTGCCTCAAGTGATGAATTTGTCTGAGCCAATCATGGAATCCCTCTTCTCCTTTCCCAGACATTCCCTTTTCTGGCCTCTCTAGCTAGGGATGACACACTTGGCTATTGATACATCCTTATACCTTGAGACAATTATATAAAGAGATAATGCCTGGAGCTACAGCAGTTATCTTGTGATGGTAAGTAAAAAGTACCTTGCCTGCTTTTTCACTTAGGTAAATGAAAATCCAAGAGGCTGAGAATGGTGAAACCAAAGGAAAGAAAGACATTTTTGGACTGTTGATAAAACCTTGAAAGAACACAGTAAATATCCACAGGGTTTAATCTTCCATAAATGTGGTGTTCTATGATATGTGATAATTGAAGGCTTTCTAAACTGGTATAATATATATTCATAAACTAATTATCAATCATGCACTAAACAGTTTTAAAATGTGATTCTGAATATCAGAGAAAGAATGACAAAGACTGAAGTATTTTTTAAACACTTGTCAAACCAGGCATTACAGTTGATATTATTGGATATACATATTGCAAAGGCACTAACCCTATGAGGCTATTTATATTTAAATTAACTAATTAAGTAAAATTTAACATTCAGTTTATCCATTGTACTAGCTACATTCCAAGTGTCACATGTAGCTAGTGATCACTGTAGTGAATGAAATAGATTATAGAAAATTTTCATAATCACAGATGGTTCTATTAGACAATATTAGTCTGTAGATTCAGGGAATTATATTTTGATAGGACAAGAACATGCTACATTTTCTATCTACAGATGTTGATGTCTCTATGTAATGGCTCTATGTAATGCCAGAATTTTAATTTCCACCTAATTTAATAATTAGAAGTAGTTAGGGCAATTTGCCACGATTTAAAGATGTCTCTGGCAATTATGAATGTCTATCAAGTTATTATTACCTTTTCATAATATTTTATTCATATTTAAGTGTCAATGTTTCCTATATATTCCTTGAATATCAAGGCCCAGTTTATGATATGACATAAAAGGAGAATATGAGTGTTCACCAGGAAATCAAAATTTGGTGTTCCTGCTTTTGTCTAACTTGAATGTCTAAGCACACTATAGAGGTCGCATGCCTGCATATAAACAGAATACATTCTCTGTCTTAATTACATGCCTAAGAGTCAGTGTCTACTAGACCATAGACAAAGAGACATGTGGTGCAGATCAAATTAACAAGAGCATTAAATAAATAATTGAAACACCTTCAACTAAATAACCAAGCAAAGTAAATCAATAAACCCTAAATTGGCAAGATATTCTTGGCAATCCTAAGTCCAATCAATGTTTGCTAATTACCAGTATCTTTGATGCAGTTAAAACACTGTAGTACCCATATGTTGTACTCTATTTTTTTAATTGAAGTGCATGTTTTTCTAGCAAAGGATGATTTACTGTAATGCTTGGATTATGCAAAACTGCAATATGCAGCTCTGATACCTTTGCTGTATATTGTTCTTCCATTGTAATCATCTATATGTTTACATACTTTCTGTCTTGATGATGTTTATCTCCAAAGATGTAATAGAGAAATACATAAGAAGTCTGGTTATAAATATTCATGTTTCATTTTCCAAGTTCTATGACTATTCCTTTCCCCTTTATATACCAACACTCAAATGCATGCCTACATTCACACAGGTACATATATGCTAGAGTTATAGCTGGGAAGAAAACCTCCAAACAAATGCACTTACAATGCCACTGCATCCTTTCACACTTCCCCATGTACAGACCAGAGAAAAATATCAGCATTTCTGTTCTCTTCAGAAGTTGATGAGTATTACTGAATGGTGACTGTGAGAAGACATTTTCTATCCTCCTTCTCTTGTCTTCCTATCCCTCAGGATGCTCAGAAAAAGAATGTTATGCTTATTTTTCAGTTTAAAAATCATCCAGTATTTCCTGTGAGTCATCAGCTGGAGGAGTAATGTGATTCCATCTTATGGCTGAGTAAACACAGAGATCTGATTTCAGGCTAGGAACAAATTTCAAAGTGCAAATATAAATCACATGGTTAATCTTTTTTTTCATCTTCTGAGAAATCCTGCCAGGCATCCAACAAGAGGGTGAAAATCACACTTCTTCCTTAGGCATGTGATTTCCTGACTTTCATCACCTTTTCCATTGTTGTCGTTGTTAAAAGCATGACATTTATTTCTTGAATTTTTTTTCAACTTGGAGAATCTTTATAATTAATTTTTCAAAATTAACTAATATTAATTAGTTGTGTTTGGATAATGAGTGAGGATGTTTCAGAACAAAATATCAAGGTGTAGTCTGAGAAAAAGTTTCCTATGGAAAAAAACTAGGCAAACTGTAAGATACACAAATAAATCCACTTTTCTAACTAGGTGAGTGTATGGCTGAGAGACAAATGAATAAAAATAGGATACAAGGGCAGGTAGGGATGGTTGAAATGTCCTTTGCATCTTCTAATCACATGAGGATTTATCCTGTTACCACATATCTTTCATTCCTGAAAAAGTTGATGCAACTCCTAACCTATAGCCACAAGGAAGCAAGAACACTAAAGAAGAAAAACATCTATTTGGTCATTTGGCCATTTGGCCAATTTGGGAACTTTTATGTGAACGAAAGGAAAGAATGAGACAAATTTGAAGGCAAGTGGGAATGGCAATGTGTGTATCTTAGAGGACAGTGGGTGAGCTAGAGCAGGTTTCTTATTCCAAATCTTCCCATCTCCTTGACCAGGTGGAGTCGGCTCTGGCTCAAGTTAAACCATAAACTCAGTTTAAGACCAATGATAAGCTGTTCACCCTCTCTCAGCACTGCAAATCCCCTTGCCTCATAAATAAGGGATTTGAAGGCCCACAGAACTTAGGGTTCATGAGTAAAGTAAGGACAAATAGCTTTCTCTAATGACCATGAGACCCAAGACAGTAACAATCATTTTACCCAAGGGCTAGAAGAGAAAGACACTTTCCAGAGGGCATCCTGATATCTTTTTTCTTTTTTACTCTTTTTGAGACAGTTTCACTCTTTTGCCCATGCTGGAGTGCAGTGGTGCTATCTCAGCTCACTGCAGCCTCCGCCTCACGGGTTCAAGTGATTCTCCTTCCTCAGCCTCCCAAGTAGCTGGAACCACAGGTGCATATCACCACGCCCGGGTAATTTTTGGATTTTTAGTAGTGACAGGTTTCACCATTTTAGCCTGGCTGGTCTGGAACTCCTGGCCTCAGGTGATCCCCATGCCTCAGCCTCCCAAAGTGCTGGGATCATAGGTGTTAGCCATGGCACCCAGGCCTGATATCTTAAATAAGGGAAACACTTAGTGTATTTTGCTTCTTGTACACATTTTTCTGCTAACTCCTTCTCTACTATTCTGTGTAAGACATTGTATGTTTAATCATCCAGAGCAGCTTGAAACGAAGCCTGGGCATTGCTTCTGAGAAGCCCTTGCATGAATTAACATGATGAAAAAGTCCAATTGTTGGATAATTAGACCTTTTATTTTCTTATTTCCAAGAGTAGATGATGTTTGGATGCAAAGATTTATAGAAAAAATAGTCCCTTTTACAGTGGAAGGTAGCACAGAGGAGAAGTATAGCAAGAAAGCCCTTGGTGCAAGGCTGGACGTCCCATTGCCAGCTGGATGTTCCATTGCCAGCACCTGCACCAAGGGCTTTCTCTGGCTATTGTTGCCTACTTTGCCCTCCGTATAGCAGGCTTGACAAATGGCAGAATTGTTGCACCTCACCAAAGCAGCCCTCATGCTATGCCTGAAGCAAGGGGCTGACGGGAGTTAGTGTGTAAATGTCCCAGCCCCCTCACCCTTCTGAGGAACATGGTATACACTGGCTTTCAGGGTTTGCTCAGTGGGATTAGGCCCCACTCACACATGGTAATAGCAGGCTTCATAACACATTCTTGATTGCTACCCTTCTTCCTTGTGTCATTTCCTCACTCTCTTCTGGTCATATCCTCCTTCTCCCAAACAAATTGGTTATATTTGAATCCTCTTCTCAGGGTCCATATCTGTAAGAGGCGAAAGTAAGATAGGAGATTATCAGCAATTTGGCTTATTATATATTAGTTTTAGTTTTATTTAAAAGGAATTAAAAGGAAACTTGTTGGTTACACTGGTCTTGAACTCCTGACCTCGTGATCCACCTGCCTTGGCCTTTCAAGGTACTGGGAATACAAAAGTGAGCCACCATACCTGGCCACCTGGCTAATTCTTATATTTTTTGTAGAGAAGGAGTTTTGCCATATTGCCCAGGCTGGTCCCAAACTCCTGAGCTCAAGCAATCCACCTGCCTCAGCCTTCTAAAGTGTTTGGGAAGATTACATGGGTGAGCCACCATGCCCAGCCTAAAAGGAAACCTGTTAAAGACAGCTTTTGCCAGGTGCTCTTAGGCACTTTAGAAATTCATAAATCCTTTCAAAACCTTCTAATTTTAGGTATTAAGTAAAATTTCTCTATTTAAATTTCTGCAACAGTAGAAAATAAATATTTCCTATGTTTTTTTTTTCATTTTCAACAATGAGCTAAATTTCATAATAGACAAAGCCATAGCTTATTAAGGTTTTTAACTTATTTGTAAAATGGTATACAAACTGAGATTCTTAGGAGACAAAAATGATAAATACCTAAGTATGTCAGTATTTTACATTGTTTTCAGTTGTAGTTCCTTTATGCTTCAGTTTCTTTTATTAAGACTGAAGTTATAACAGTTACAACTACTTTTATTGACTTTTAAAGGCTTTATTGATATTTTAATAATACAACTAATTCCTCTTATTCTGCCTATATAATAAAATGATCTAACACACATTAAAATGCACCATAGTATATCAGCATAGAATAGGAATGAAAGTTTCTTCACTAAGATATAAAATCTGAAGTCAGATTGCCTGAGTTTATGTCCTGGTTCTGAAACTTTCACACTGTGTAACCTTGGGCAAATTGCTTAACCTCTCTGTGCCTTTCCTTTCTTATTTGTCAAATCAGGATAACAATCATTCCTAATTCATAGAGTTTCTGTGTGGATCAATGAAACAGTAACTGTATAGCACTTAAGAAGTGCCTGGCACATATTAATAACTCAATAGAGAGTAGCTATTACTTTCATCGTTTTTACTGTCCAGTTTGGGTTATGCAGTATCTAGCTCCACTTCTTCTCAGAACCATTTTTCTTTTCCGGGGCTGGATTATCTCCCAAGAATATATGAACAACCATGGATCAGATGCTTTTGTTTGGGTGTAACTGTTTCTGTGAGTATATTAGGGCTTCCCAACTCTCATTTTGCCCCCCACCATTGATGGAAGATTTAACTAAGAAATGAAACACAATCATATTATTGAAGCACAAGAAGTTTTCCTGAAATTGAACACTTTCCCGACTCTCAGCAACAGTGGGTAGCTAATGATGAGGGCAGGGAATAATTTAGTCATTCTCTCCCTCCTATCTTCTTGTCTTGTAGCTTGGCAGTGACATGGCAACTGGGTAATCACCATCAGTCCTCTGCCCCCTTCTCCTCCTCTTCTCTTTCCTCACTGCCTTGCCATTGTTCTATACTTTATTACTCATTATATAATGTGTTGCCTTTCAAACCTGTATCCCTATTGTGAGTCATCAATTGATTTAATTTGAGTGTGTTTTTAAATTTTGTAATTCTTTGGATAGTAGATGGTAGTGTTCGACAGATTTTCTCATCTTAATGAAGGACCAAATAATTGGAGCATTGTGCATGTGTCATTATTCTCATAAATCTTACTGTTTTTCTCCTTATTTCCCCATGTTTTAAGATTTCCTGAAAGTTTAATATGTGTTAAACTTGTAAAGTCAATTTTTTAAATAAATAAAAATTTACAAGAAATAGATGTATAGAATTTTTCTCAGCATTCTAGAAAGTATTATTTAATCTGCATGTGTTTATGAATAGCCATTGTATAAGCAGCACTGTCTAGGAGTTGAAGGAAGGAGAGGAGGAGGAGAGGGAAAGGGAGAAAAGGGGCAAGAAGGGAAAGGAAGATATATTTCTAAGGCTTCATAAACTTATATAGTATTTTAGGAGATGACATAATTAGAGGCCAATAAATAATTAGGTAACACAAATGGCATAGTACACATGGGGTAAATTTGAGATGACTGAGGATGAAGTAGGTTTTGAACATTTGATTTTTAAGGTGGTGATGAGACATTGAAGAGGCTTGTTCTTCTAATGGATGGGAAAATGAAATTGGAGCATGCTAAAAGGTTAAGATGAGAATCAGAGATTTAGAAATCATCCAGGTAGAGGTCACAACTAGAGCCATGAGAGCTGAGAGTTCTTTCTGGAATTCATGGAGTTCACAGGACGATGAGTATAGAAGGCAGAAAAGAGAACTGTAGGGATCCATATAAGGTGGGATGTGAAAGAGAAAGACAAACCAGGAGAGGGCAAAGAAGGAAGTCTGCAAGGCTATGAGGCAAATAGGGAACTAAGGAGTCACCAGAAAACCAAAGCAAGGAGGAGTTTCAAGGAGCATGTGGTCAATGGCCTAACACGTGATAAGAAGATTAAGTTGGACCAGAATTGAGGAAAAGCAATTGAATGCCAATGCATTCAAGAGAGCAATTTTAGTATTGTGATGGAGCTAATAGTCAGAATGAGAGAAGTGACCCAAGTTTGAGTGGGAAAGGCAGAGAAGAGATAAAAAGAAAAGAGAAGCAAGAATTTTAGATGAAGCTAATGAAACTTATGCTTCAGGGTTCCCACTTACACAGACCCCTATCAAGGCCCTGGGAAGGACCCTGGCCTTATATTCATGCAGTCATATGTTTTGCACACTTGGCAATAGCAAGGCATTTTAACTGCAGTTGACAATAAGACCATTTTCTCTTTACTGTAACTTTCCCTCCTTATGAGGTGCAATTATGGGACAGTTGAATTGAAGATATATTTTATTTGGATTTAGTGGGAATCATGGTATACAAAACTACATCTAGGTATAAATTGCTGGCTATCTGGTGTAAGAACAGTTTCTAGAAATATTACAGACTATTTTGTCCAACATCATGACATGAGGATATCAACAAAAGCTGGTCCATTGTTGCTGATTTAACAATTATTTAAAATTTTTTGCTTAGAGAAAACTTGAAATTCTTCCAAATCTTGCAATGTATAATTAAATAAACTTGATAAATAATCTTTTAAAATTGGCAACAATTCTAAAATTTACCCTGCCATTACCAATAACCAGTTATGATCCTGAAAAATAATGCACAGACTAGACATATTAAAAATTAAAGTTCAGTCAACCATGCTGGGAAAAAAAGTCTGAATCTTTTTTCCAATACAGAAAAATGTAATAACAAAATTGCTGACATAGGAACAGGTGATCAAAAAGTATGATGCATCATTTTTAAATCAGCTTTTAAAAAATTTGTAATTTGTAATGATTTATTTTCTCCTCTAAATGTATATTTTTAAAACTGATTTTGCATTCTTAAGCTTTACACCACCAACAAACCAGATTATACTCATGATGTACCAAGGTTTTATTGCTTTAAGGGTAGAAGGGAGATTATAAAGGAATAAACAGCTACCATACCCCTATCTACTAAGTGTGACAAACATTATTTTCTTTTTTCTTTTTTTTTTTTTTTTAAATTTTTTATTGGATTTTAGGTTTTGGGGTACATGAGCAGAGCATGTAAGACAGTTGCGTAGGAACACACATGGCAGTGTGCTTTTCTTTCCTTCTCCCCTTCACCCACATTTGGCATTTCTCCCCAGGCTATCCCTCCCCACCTCCCCCTCCCACTGGCCCTCCCCTTTTCCCCCCAATAGACCCCAGTGTTTAGTACTCCCCTTTCTGTGTCCATGTGTTCTCATTTTTCATCACCCACCTATGAGTGAGAATATGCAGTGTTTCATTTTCTGTTCTTGTGTCAGTTTGCTGAGGATGACATTCTCCAGATTCATCCATGTCCCTACAAATGACACAAACTCATCATTTCTGATTGCTGCATAATATTCCATGGTGTATATGTGCCACATTTTTCCAATCCAGTCTATCATCAATGGGCATTTTGGTTGATTCCAGGTCTTTGCTATTGTAAACAGTGCTGCAATGAACATTCGTGTACATGTGTCCTTATAGTAGAACGATTTATAGTCTTTTGGATACATACCCAGTAATGGGATTGCTGGGTCAAATGGAATTTCTATTTCTAAGGCCTTGAGGAATCGCCACACTGTCTTCCACAATGGTTGAACTAATTTACACTCCCACCAACAGTATAAAAGTGTTCCTTTTTCTCCACATCCTCTCCAGCATCTGTTGTCTCCAGATTTTTTAATGATCGCCATTCTAACTGGTGTGAGATGGTATCTCAATGTGGTTTTGATTTGCATCTCTCTGATGACCAGTGACGATAAGCATTTTTTCATATGATTGTTGGCCTCATATACGTCTTCTTTCGTAAAGTGTCTGTTCATATCCTTTGCCCACTTTTGAATGGGCTTGTTTGTTTTTTTCCTGTAAATCCGTTTGAGTTCTTTGTAAATTCTGGATATCAGCCCTTTGTCAGATGGGTAAACTGCAAAAATTTTTTCCCATTCTGTTGGTTGCCGATCCACTCTAGTGACTGTTTCTTTTGCCGTGCAGAAGCTGTGGAGTTTCATTAGGTCCCATTTGTCTATTTTGGCTTTTGTTGCCAATGCTTTTGGTGTTTTGTTCATAAAGTCCTTGCCTACTCCTATGTCCTGGATAGTTTTGCCTAGATTTCCTTCTAGGGTTTTTATGGTGCCAGGTCTTATGTTTAAGTCTTTAATCCATCTGGAGTTAATTTTAGTGTAAGGTGTAAGGAAGGGGTCCAGTTTCTGCTTTCTGCACATGGCTAGCCAGTTTTCCCAACACCATTTGTTAAACAGGGAATCCTTTCCCCATTGCTTGTTTTTGTCAGGTTTATCAAAGATTGTACAGTTGTAGATATGTTGTGTTGCCTCCAGTGCCTCTGTTTTGTTCCATTGGTCTATATCTCTGT